TTTTGCAAAATCCATTTTACTAGTAAACTTAAATCAAAATCTGATCCAAGAATCTCTAGCACATGAAGTTCCATGAAAAATAAAAGATTGTTTGAAGAAATCCAGGCATTTTGGCATCTATTTAATTTTTTCTTACCATATCCTTTTTCCCAAATGAGATTGCTAAATATTGCCCATTTAAGAAGTGCATAGGAATGATGAATAATGTTTGCATTACCTGAACAGAGGAATCTTACTGGTTTAAAGGCCAGAGATTTATTTGTGTTCATCTTGCATTATTGCTAGTAACTCTTGTGTAATGGATTTCCCTGTCAGCACTGACAGCAGGGTCCGCGTCTGGGATGTGAGAAGAGCCTCTGGGAGTCTTTTTACTTTGGACCAGCAAAATGGGGACAAATCCAAGGCCTCATCTGAAGCAGGTGAAATCACATTTAGCATGTTTCATCAAGCCTCATGATGAGGATAATTGTGATTTAATATTTACAAAAAAACATTTGAGAGGTAGTTTACTGAAAATATTTTGTTTATCATGTGCATTCTAGAAAATGCATTTATGTGTTACAGAATATATGAGTGTATAAAAAGTGATATGTAATTTTATAGTAAGTTCAGATGATAAGTTCTTCAGAGATACCAGGCACTTGCCATAGCGCTGAGTGCAGCAAGCAGAAATGAATGTGAGCAATAATCTCTGTGTGTAAAAGATGCTAAAAACTCATATTTCTGCATCAGACAAGAGCTGTTTATATACATTATAAACTTGTCCGTAATCACCTTCGTTATTTCCTATCTTCTGTCACAGAAGAAACTGTATAAATAATATAGTATATAAAATACATAACTGTTAATTTACCACAATAATGTGCTACAATTATTATTATATAATATTATATTATAATATATTAATATTATGCAATATATGACAATTAATATTATACTATATATAAATGGTATAATATTAATTGTTTTATATAGGTATACACAAACACACACACACATATATATATATATATATATAATATATATATATATATATATATATGTATGTGTGTGTGGAAAAGTCTTAGGCATGTTAGTATTTTCACAAAAAAATGGTTTAAAGTCAGTTATTTATATCTATATTTTATTTTTACTTTTTACATTTCCAAACATTCCTTTTGCCATTAATTGTAATAAACAAAATGAGACTGACAACAGCTCCACACAGAGATTCAGAAGAACTGCGGCAACGTCTCCAAGACATATGATGAAACCTTCCTGCAGAACTACCTGAAAAACTATGTGCAAGTGTACCTGTACAAAAGCTGTTTTAAACGCAAAGGGTGGTCACATTGATTTGATTTAGTTACTAGAAGTTAATTGATAAATAAAATGTATCTATTTATGACATTATTTTTGAAAGAATCCTCACTAGTACAGCATTTTTACACAAGTGCCTAAAACTTTTCACAGTACTTGTATTTTGAAGGAAGGTTTATTTATATGTCTTGGAGACGTTTCCACAGTTCTTCTGGATTTAGTCTTTCTCAGTTTTTTCTGTTTCTTCATGTAATCCCAGATGGACTCAATGATGGTCAGATCAGATCTCTGTGTGGAGCTGTTGTCAGACTCCTTGTGCATACAAAAATCTCACTGGATTATTACAATTAACGGCAAAAGGAATGTTTGGAAATGTAAACTGATATTTCCTACTGAAACACTACAGCAAAAGATATAAATAACTGGCTTAAAACCCTTTTTAAATTTTTTTTAAATACTAACGTGCCTAAGACTTTTGCACAGTACTGTATATATGCATTTATTTTGTAAAATATTATAAAATACAAATAATGTACTGTAAATATACATATTTATATAATATAATACACAAATATAGTCATTATTAATGGTATTGTATAATATTAAATATAATATTGTAATATAAAATGTAACAATCTTTAAAATAAAAGTATACTTTTCTTCCAGTGAATACAGCACACAATGGGCGAGCAAATGGATTGTGCTTCACAGCTGACGGACTCCATCTCCTCACTACTGGTACAGATGATCGAATGCGCCTGTGGAATAGTGCCACAGGGGAAAACACATTAGTGAGTAGCTCTTAGGGATATTTGAAGACTTTACACTTTAGACTTAATTCCTAATATCTGCTATGTAAAAAATTATGTAAAAAATTATATTTTGAGCCGATGTTCATGCAGCAGAAGTAATTAGGGGCCATTCACATAGATCATGTTTTTCATTCCATTGCTCTACTTTTCCATTGTTTTTGCATGTAAACGTTCTAGACAGACGTCTTTTACCGTTGCGGTTAGTTGTTAATTTCACAGATATCTTTAAATCTTTGTCATTTTAATCCATGGAACTGTTCAGAAATCTTTAATTTTCATCAACAGGTGAATTATGGAAAAGTCGTCAACGAGAGCCGCAAAGGCCTCAAGTTTACCGTATCGAGGGGCTGCAGTCCGGAGTTTGTGTTTGTGCCTTGTGGCACTTCGGTAGCGGTGTACGGGCTTCACTCGGGAGAGCTGATCACTATGTTGAGAGGACATTATAATAATGTAGACTGCTGTGAGTTCCACCCAGATTATCAGGTAATGTTGTTCCTGATTATTTGCTTAGTAATTGAGTCTTTGCTAATCAGTCAACAAACTGAAACAATGCCAGGAAGTAAAAGCAATGTTCTCACAATCATTTAATGAGATTTGAATTGACTCGGGCTCATTTGTGCATCATTAGGAGGTGTACAGTGGAGGTAAAGACTGTAACATCCTGGCCTGGGTCCCAGTGCTAAGACAGCCTGACATTGAGGATGAAGAAAACAACTCTAAACGGGTAAACTTTTTTTTGAGATATATTTTTTTAAATACAAATTTTAAATGTTTTACTCTTGTCCAGATTTCAGAAAAGATTAGGTTGATCCAATTAATGGTGCGCTTTAATGACTACTACAATGTTCTGTGGATCAGGTGTTTTTATCTTTACAGATCTGCAGGTTTGGACTATGTGGGGCAGAAAGTGAATCTAAATTTGTGCTCACGTAAACATTTTTTCACCTTGCTCACGTTCCCCAGCCAATAGATAAGATCAGATAACCTGACAAACACTGCCCATTATGGCATATATTCAGATGCGGCTGCTGTCAGTCATGGTCTACATGAGATGTACACATTAGCTTGAGTTGCACGTCTTGATGGCTTGTAGTTTATCAGGTGCTGAGTTTAACATCCTGCTCTACCAGTTTTTCTGGTAGAAAATCTGGCACACGTTTAAGGAATTGCATTACGCATCACTGATACATACTTGGCTATTGGCATGGCTTTTTTTTAACAATGTATTTGGAAAATATTAATTTTAACAATGTGTCACAAAAAACATTTTGAAAAAAAAAATATCACTAGGTTTTTAATTTGCACTTATAGCTGGAAATTATCGGCTATATCACAGCTATATTCATAAACGTGTATATATATAATTTATTTCAGCCCATTCTTACTGATGCTTCTAAGACTATCGCAAGTCTTTCTTGCTAATTCGTTAAAACCTTGATGTAACTAAGGTTGATGACTGGTTTTCAAATCAGAGATATATCACAGAAAACCAAATATTTGAAAGGCATTTAAATATGTGCAAATCAGTGAACATACAATATAGTGATAATGCACCACATGCTCTTATTGTTGTGCCCTTGCTGTATCATCTAAAGTTAAACAGTAATCAAACATCACTGAATCCTGTTGGCTTAAAGTCGGCATGAAACGGAAGTTGCAACTCCCTTTTCTTCTCCATTGGGACGGATATCCATGTGAAAAGGCTTCTCAAACAAGAAAAAATGTAGGACAGGACTTGATTTAGTCCATCCTTGGTTTGATATTGATGTGATCTCATGTAAGTAACAGGTTGTACCGCCCTTGCGCCGGTACACGTCACCAGAGAAGAGAAGAAATGTCACTGCAGGGGGGAAGGGATGATATTCTGATTAAAGATTATGAGGGCATATGATTAAAAATAAAATTTGTCCACGGATAAATCATTTATAATAAATACTGCAATATTCCATAAAAAACAAGAATTGTCCATTTTGAATTCATGGTGACTTTTATGATGTTCAAATGTTTCTGAATGTTCTGAATGCATATTTTCACAGGGTGGAACACAAGCTGCAGTCAATCCTGCTTTTGAAGATGCCTGGAGCAGTGATGAAGGCTGACAGAGCAAGAAAACCAGCATCCTGTTTTTTATTATCCAAATAAACCACTATGTACATTCCTTCAGAGGTCAAAGTGCTCTTATTGTATACAATTGCATACTGCGATCAATCGGTGCCTATAAAGTCACTGTACATAAAAAGTCTCATGGGTGTCAAGTATTTCCATTGGTTGGCAGACTTGGCACCTGCTCATTCGCCTTTCAACTTGACGTGAACTACAAGTTCTCACATCATTAGAACCAATGGTTTGGTGTAAAAAGTATGTTTTGTGATTACGATAAACATATTTGTTTTTACTTTACTTTTGTGGGATGAGAAATGAACAGTTTATTTTTGCGTGTTTATTAATTAAACAATGAATGTAAGATAAAACATTCATGCTGACTCTATATCATTTTTACTGTGAAGGAACTATTGGGACATTTTATAAATCATTATTGTGTCATCATTAATTGTCATAATTTATTGTGGCATCATTAATTGTCATAATTTATTGTGGCATCATTAATTGTCATAATTATTTGACTCCATACTTTTGTCCTTATAAATTCACGCACCCTATAGCGTGGGAGTATTACAAGTCCTGTTGCGACATTTGACCAATCAGAGCCCTCAGTCTCAGAATCAGGTGAACGTCTCCGCCCACCGCTCGCTCATTGCAATGAAGAAGGAACTCGCGCGTCTTTAAGATTAATTGATGGAGGTCGTGTGTACAAACCTTTAGATTTTTTTTTTACTTTTTAAACTACTTTACCTGGCACGGAGGCAGAAGACGAGCGTCAAAGCAATATTGAACGCAAAGCGGGAGGACCTCGAGGTCTGCGTGGAAATACACACATCTCTGAACTTTCGTCTGTTTTGTCACGGTAAGACACGCGCACCTGCACTTGCCATTTTTTGTGTGAAGTCCGTATGTGACCTGCTGTGAATTTCTTTGTAATAATACGGATATTCTGCCTTCCCTGTTAAAACCGTGGGAGTGAGTATTTTCTCTTTGTATTTTGAGTCACTTAATTTATAGTTAACTTACTTATTTTCTGGTTGATATCACACTTTTTATTATTTGGGTATGGTTACTAAATTAGTTTATTAGAGCTCAGGTGGCGTCTACGAAATACTGATGAGTGTCTGTGTATAATATCATATATAATCTGTGTGTATGCATGCATGTATGTGTTTTTGTTGTTGTTGTCTGAAATGTCATTATCCAGAGCATATCCCACACTTAAATATAAAACTTCAGATATTATGTTGGGTTTATCTAGTATTGGGCTTTCCAGTTCAGCTGTCAAGAGCCCATGCGGTTCCTGTATGCACCTGTGTGGAGGGAAGGTGTCTCATGGCAACAGGCGTGTCGAGGCTTGTATTAAAGATTACAGTATCTAGGCGGGCAACTCTCTCCATATAATTAGACCAGTATACCCTGAAACACATGTTTGATTAGTTTCTCTTTAAACATGGAAGGGAGGCAAAGAACGCTTGGGTTGATTGATGCTTCACCAGAATGATGCCTGAATTCATGTACAGCATTCGAGTTAGTGGTTTTTAGGGACCATTCTGCTTAAAGTAAGCTGTTTTTAACATATGTATAAAATCCAATTATAAATGTGATAATGTGGTCTTTATTTATTGATTAAATTGCCTGCTGATATTCACCCTCAACGATGCAACACTACTTTTTTTAAATTTACATTTTATATGCTGCTGCAAATATATATTTTTATTCTTGTATTTATTTCAGTTTATCAAAATATTTTTAAATATCAGTATAATAAACGTATTTATTTTCAGACATAAAATGATACTAATTTGTTTGGTTTTTATTTGCTTTGAATTATCTTGTAACTCCATAAGCAATATTTATGCAATAATAATTACTGAGATGATGTGGATCTTTGAAGTATCCAAGTCATTTTTGCAATTTCAGCACTTTTCACTTCTTCTTCATCTTATTTGTCCTTTAAGGGATAGTTCACTCAAATTAAAATTCTGTCATTTACTCGCCCTCAAGTTGTTCCAAACATGTATGAGTTTCCTTCTGCTGAACACAAGACATTTTGAAGAACATGGGTATCCAAACTGTATGGGGAAAAAATACTATGGAAGTCAATGTGTTCCATCAACTGTTTGATTACCAACATTCTTCAAAATATCATCTGTTGTGTTCAGCAGAAGAAAGAAATTTATTCAGGTTTGGAAACAGTTTGAGGGTGAGTAAATGATGACAGAATTGTCATTTTTGGGTGAACAATCCCTTTAATGAATGAAATTATACGCCCCGAATACACAGCCACAGATGTGTACGTTTATTACAGAATAATACAATTTGAAATGCACTTCTGGTAATGGTATCAAGAACAATTGTATGCAATTTCTCCATTGTATGCATCTGAGTTGAACTGTTATGTGGTATATTACTGTACATTGTTCTGTGGCTCTGCATTTCTTCGTTTATCCACCCCCATGATTTTATGGGCTGTCCTGGCTTCTGTGTCCTTAATGTACAATGACTGCTGACCATTGTGTCCCAACACTCACCCTCTTGTTCAGCTCCGAGTTTGCTGGAGAGGATGGAGGATGGTCCAACTGCTGATTTAAACTTTTTGTGTTTTCTAAGCACAATACAACTTTTCATGCTGCCACCATAAATAAGCCATTCTTGCATCATTTTTGCAACATTTAGGTTCCATATCTCATCATGTCATACTGTCTAGAAGGAAACGGTACTGTGAAGGTGTTTGATTGATCAATTATAAATTCAGTCTGACATGTGGCGTTCGAGGCTAAATGAAAGATGTAAAGGATAAAAATGGTAGATTTTACAGTAGTTGGTCATTGAGGGTTCTCTCCTGTTTACTCTTTGTAATTGTCTCCTTAGGCTCTGATCATTGGCGGTGATGGAGTTCACATCCACAGCTGAACACTTGTATGACAAGTGGATCAAGTTGATTGAAAATGCAGGTAAGAAGGTTTCTGACCTTAGAGAAGAAAAAAAAACAATGTATGACCTGCAACAGTCAGATTCTGAAAGTAAAAATCCCATTGAAAAATTATTTTGTCTATAGGGGAATTGATTTTGGGCGATAACTTAAGCTCATAGCTCACAGTAGGTCTGTCTTTAATGATTTGTTTATTGATGGTATATGCTTTTGTTGAAGCCATCAGCCTGCATTATTTCATCTTATTTTTTGACAAACATTCCTCATGCCAAAAGAACTCTTTAGTGCCCAACCATTCCCATGAAGCACTGCAAACTGACAGTCAGGCTCCCTGCGCTCTTAAACTTAAATAAACAAATATATTATATCTTATTATATAATAAGTATATATTATATCTTGTATTACATTTTGCTATATACATACAACTGTTTCTATATACATAATCAACATATTTAAAACAATAGCTTTAAGTTTCTGTCATTAAAAAAAAAAAAAAAAAAAAAAAAAACAATGCTAGGGTTGGTTCATGGCTCTATAATGGAGATCTCTATTGGAAAAATTAATGGAAAAACTTCCGCAACCAAGGTTGCTAAAAAGGGGTTGGTAAACGTGGTTTACACTGTTTAAAATCATTAGTGCATCAAATTACATTTTTTTTCTTTTTTTTCTTTTCTTTTAAGTTTAGAAGACTGATTCTGTTACTGAGATTGTTGAAACGTCAGTTTCTCATACATCAGTGTAATTTTTCAATCTCAGAGAATTATGGTGCACAACAACAACAGCAATATCGGACGTAGATCAGTGCACAACCTAATGCAGTTACAATAGATGTTGCTGTGCATGGAGACATAACACGGAGTTCAGATATTCTTGTGATGTGATTTCAGACCCGAGGACAAAAGACTGGCTGTTCATGCCCTCTCCTATCCTGCAAACGGCTATTATTTTATTTTATATCTTCTTTGTGACATCACTGGGGCCCAGGATAATGGAGAATAGGAAACCGTTTAATCTGAAGCCGCTCCTCGTCATCTATAATTTCAGCGTTGTGGCTCTTTCTCTTTACATGTGTTATGAGGTAAATATCATTCTTTTTGCTAGCAGGCAAACCTGTTGTGCGTTTTGCTTGAGAGTTTACAAAGATACTTTTTTTGATGAACATGTATTATTAGAGTCCATTGAGTTATTCTGCCATTTCATTTTTTGTTTCATGCTGTTCACACAAATAGCTAATGTGTAAATGGGTGGAATGAGTTTACCTACAGCGTTCAGTTTACTCAAAAATTACAATTTACTCTTCCTCATGTTGTTCCACAATTATATGATTGTCTGTCTGTGGCTCACAAAAGATGTTTTGCAGAATGTCTAAAGCATCTCCTTTCCATAGATTAAAAGTGGATGTGATTCATACTACCAGGCACTAATTAACTTGTTTGCTGTATTCTACATCTTCTGAAGCCATGTAGTAGTGTTGTGTTGAACTTGAACAAACTGAAGATTTTCACTAAACAACTGATATTTTCAGAGCTTTTGTTAATTTTTGGTCCTTTTGGAAATTTAGTTTGAATCAGTCCATTTTTGTTGTATAGAAAAAATCAGTTTAGACATTCAGTTTAATAGACCTAGAGTTTTTCTTACCTTGTCAGGTATTTATAATGAGCTATTTTTTTCTTTGTCTATCTCCATATAAATGGTATGGCCAAAGGTACACTTAAGTTCTTGAATTTCAATCAAGCCTCTTACAGCCGTATTCTTTTTTTTTTTTTTGCAGTTTGTGATGTCAGGCTGGGGAACAGGTTATTCATTCGGCTGTGATCTGTTAGACCCCTCTCAATCGCCACAAGCCATGAGGGTGAGAGCAGAAGAAATGTTGCTTTACCTGCCGTGTGAAAACCTCTGCCCTGGTTTTTTTTCTCATGTAACCTGGCACCAGGCTTAGGTATTTGGCTTAGATGTGGTTGGCTTCATTTGACTTAAATGTTCCACAGAACCATTCAGACCTCCTGCAATACACTTATTTCTGAGTGATATTATTGTATCCTTGTCTGATGAATTTGTTTTGTATTTGATAGTTTGTCGGGCATTTGTGCTTGATCTATATTTCTCATTCTCCAGATGGCATGGACTTGCTGGCTCTATTACTTCTCCAAGTTCATTGAGATGTTGGACACAGTGAGTGATTTTTCCTATTTATTACCTTGATTTCATGACATCTGCATTGCTACTGCTACTGAAGCAAACAGCATGTATAACGGCAAATAGTTGTCTGTCACATCTTTGACATACAGTGTCCTCCACTAATACTGGCACCCTTGGTATAAAATGCGCAAAGGTGGCTATGAAAAGTAAATCTGCATTGTTTATCCTTTTGATGTTTTATTTTTAAAAAATCACAAATTTTGACCTTTCATTGAAGTAAAACAAAAATTGAAAGTGGAGGGAAACTCGCATTATGAAAAATGTTTTTTTCCAATGCATGTTGGCCACAATTATCGGCACCCATAGAAATTCTTATGAGTAAAACATCTCTGAAGTATATTCTCATTCATATTTACGTTTTTTTTTTAGCACACCAGGGTGACTAGGAACATGAAATTGTCGAGCCATGACGTCCTTTTCCACAGGAGTTTAAATATGAGGAAACACAAAGGCCAAATTCCCTTAAAGGGATAGTTCACTTTGAAATTAATTTTTGGTATGTTTTAGCTTACCTCAAGGGCAGTGGTTCTCAATCCTGGTCCTAGGGAGCCACTGCTCTGCACAGTTTGTATGTCTCCCTCATTTAACACACCTGATTCAGATCATCAGCTCGTTAGGAAAGAGCTTTATTAACTGAAGTGGGTGTGTCAGATGAAGGAGACATATAAAATGTGCAGAGCAGTGGCTCCCTAGGACCAAGATTGAGAACCACTGCTCAAGGGCATCCAAGATGTAGGTGTCTTTGTTTCCGCAGTAGTTTCAATTTTTATATTTTTATCAAACCGTTCTTGTCTGTCAGTCATATAATGCAGGTCTATGGTCACCACCTCAAAGAGCATGCACAGAGAAGTCCAAATTAAACATGATTTAATGACTCGTAAATGTAAGTACACATTGATGGCCTAAGACACGAAACGAGCAGTTTGTGTGAGAAAACGAACAGTATTTATATCGTTTTTACCTCTTGTAAACACAGCCACGTCCAAGTGATCTGAGGGCGCGGGCGCTTCGGTCTTTTCCGGCAAGCGCCGGAAGTGATCTCTCGCGCGTGTACGTCACTCATACAATTTTATTTATTTATTTTTTATTGTTTTCTTTTACGACGGTTTAAACATCCCGGATAAGCGCAAATTTTACCATTTTAATTAGCCGTCTTACCTACAATCTCTGTTCTGTGTAAACAATGAGTGACGTACACGCGCGAGAGATCACTTCCGGGGCTTGCCGGAAAAGACCGAAGCGCCCGCGCCCTCAGATCACTTGGACGTGGCTGTGTTTACAAGAGGTAAAAACGATATAAATACTGTTCGTTTTCTCACACAAACCGCTCGTTTCGTGTCTTAGGGCATCAATGTGTACTTACATTTACGAGTCATTAAATCATGTTTAATTTGGACTTCTCTGTGCATGCTCTTTGAGGTGGTGACCATAGACCTGCATTATATGACTGACAGACAAGAACGGTTTGATAAAAATATAAAAATTGAAACTACTGCGGAAACAAAGACACCTACATCTTGGATGCCCTTGAGGTAAGCTAAAACATACCAAAAATTTATTTCAAAGTGAACTATCCCTTTAATCATTAATCACAATGAGTAAAAGCAAAGAATATAGTTTGGATGTGCAGTAAAAGATTGTTGAGCTTCACAAAATAGAAAGTGGCTATAAGAATGGCTAAAGCATTGAAAATCCCCATTTCCACCATCATTAAGCAATATTTGAGAATCAACTAAATTAACTTCCAATCAATTAAAAATGTTAGAAATCTGCCTGGAAGAGGACGTCTATATCGTCCTAATCCACGGTGAGGAGGATAGTTTGAGTGACCAAACATTCTCCAAGGATCACCACTGGGAAATTGCAGGGATTAGTTGAGTCTTGAGTCTTTTAAAAAAAATGTATTATCAAACAACACCTACATCACATGTTGTTTGGAAGGGTTTCAAGAAAAATCCTCCTTGCTCATCCAAAAACAAACTCCAGCATATTCAGTTATCAGACACGACTGGAACTTCAAAGGGGACCTGGTTCTATGGTCAGATGAAACTAAAAAAATAGCTTTTTGGCAGCAAACAGGGATAAAAAATACCCCATGCCCACGGTTAAATATACTGCTGGATCTTTAATGTTGTGGGCCTTTTTTCTTTTTCTTTTTTTTTGCTGGAGGTCCTGGACATCTTGTTCAGATACATGGCATCATGGATTCTAGCAAATGCCAACAGGTAAAAAATCAACCTGACTGCTTCTGCTAGAAATCTTATAATGGGCCGTGGTTAGATCTTCCATCAGGACAATGATCCGAAACAAACATCAAAATCAACACAAAAATGTGTCACTCAGCACAAAATGAAGCTTCTGCCATGACCGTCCCAGTTCCCTAACCTAACCCTATAGAAAATGAGTGGGATGAACTGAAGAGAAGAAGCACCAACATTGGGGATCTGGAGAGATTCTGTAAGAAATGGTCTCTGATCTCTTGTCAGGTGTTCAGAGCTGGCGAGCAGAGCTGTTATCTTGGGAAAAGGACATTGCAATAATTGGGTGTCGATAATTATGGCCAACATGAACTAGAGAAAAACATTTTTCATAATGTGAGTTTACCTCCACTTTTAATTGTTTCACTTCAATGAAAGGTTAGAAGTTTTTGAATGAAAGATCAAAAGGAAAAAAAATGCAGATTTTTTGTTTTGCTCATATTTACCAAGGGTGCCAATATTAGTGGAGAGGACACTGTCAGTCAGCAATATTATTAGATGGTAGAAAGTGGCAATATTGTGAATCAGAGAGACAAAACTAAATCTATTGGATGGAAAATTGGAAGCTTGCTTTTCTTATATAGAAGCAATATAACTTAAGCTCTGTTTAAATCATCTATCTATGGCATGCTGTTAGTTACCACAGAAAATAATTTTGGCTAATTTGTCAGTAAGTAAAAGTGCTTTTAATAGACATGGGGCAGTTGCATTGGATTTTTATTGAAACTATACATGCAAAATACCTCTACTACCAAATGTTGTTTGAGTGATTGGATCAAAAACATTTTAGACTCCATTTAAACCTGAAAGGTGTATAGTGCTGTCCTTTGTGTACAGATCACAGAAAACGAATGTTAATACCGGGTCTTTTATCTGTCTTTTTTGCCCAGATCTTCTTTGTACTGAGAAAAAAGCAAAATCAGGTGTCCTTTCTACACGTCTTTCATCATTCCATCATGCCTTTCACTTGGTGGTTTGGAGTCAGGTTTTCTCCAGGTATGTCTTTATCTTTTTCCCTGATTGCAAGACTTAACTCTTTCCCCGCCATTGACGGACAGTTCCGTCATTTGTGAGAAAACGCTTCCCCGCCATTGACGGAATTTTTTAGCTTTACGTGTTTTCACTGTTATATGGTAGGGGGTGCTATGACACATCTACTGAAAGAGTACAGAATCTCCTGATCAAAACACATGTGAAGAAAAATCAGAAACAAGCGGGATCATATGCATATGTAAAATAACGCGATCGTCAACATTAAACGACATAAAAATCAAAACCGCCTAATGTAACTAAATGAAATGTCGACCCAGGACAAGCTAAAGGACTGTGCATGCATTAGGGGAGTTGATGGAGTCGATCTACTCCGTTTATGTTTTGGTCATCGTTCTGAATATGATCCAGACGTAGTCTTTGACAAAAACTAGATTTTCTCAGCTTTTTGATCAATTTTTTTTTTTTTTTTTAAACTTACCCACATTCAAGTGTTGATTAAAAAAAATGCATGAAGCTAGAATAAACATGTTTTTTTTTTTGTTTAAAAAAGAAGCAAAGACTCTGTTCTTTCTTTTGACATATTACATGTTCAGGAATTCATACAACAAAATATTCTGGGGGGGCATGATATTTTTGTGAAAATGATAAAAAATGTTGGTGGTGGCTGGCAATTTTTTTATTTTATTTTTTTTATTAAATTTTTTATTAATGCTGGCGGGGAAAGAGTTAAGATGCATTTCCTTTTTTTGTTGCAGGTGGTTTGGGGACATTTCACGCCCCCCTAAACTGCGTTGTTCATGTCATCATGTATACATACTATGGACTGTCAGCCCTCGGCCCTGCCTTTCAAAAATTTTTATGGTGGAAGAAGCATCTAACTTCAATACAGCTGGTATGTATTACAACATTTTTCTATAGTGTGGCTATAGAAATTAATTTAAAATCGCATAGGATGTGGTTTAGATCTGGATTTAAAAATCTTGTTTTTTGGTGTTCATACTAACCGCTTAACTGATTTGAATCGGATTTGACACGCATTGTATTTTTGCTTGTGCTCTTTTCTCAGATCCAGTTTGTCATCGTAACCGGTCATATTAGCCAGTACTACTTCATGAAAGAATGTCCTTACCCATACCCCATTTTCATCTACCTCATTACTCTGTATGGCGTCGTCTTCCTCCTCCTCTTCCTCAACTTCTGGTACCATGCATACACAAAAGGCAAAAGGCTTCCTAAAGTCCTGCAAAACATAACAATGCTACAGAACAACAATGACATACACCTCAAGAAAGAATAACTGGTGCAGTGTGACAAACCAATCAGCAGTGACAATCTACCTAAAACGGCCTTTTGGCTACATTTTTATAAGCATATTTATATGTACACCATAAAGTTTATCTTGATGCCCTAGGAAAAAAATGTTACTTTACAGACTGTGTTTTTCAGTCTTGGCTGGATCTTGCCTTCTAACCTCAGCTGGGCATTTGAGTTGAACTCTGGGTCATTGCCCTAAGGGGCTGCTTATGTTTCTACTCATTTTCCTCATCATTTTCTGCATACTGACGTGTTTCCCCTCCCTGTTTAATGAGATGTGAATGAGTCAGAAGCCTCCCAGCTCCTCACTCATGTCAGTCACCTCACTTTTATTGCCAATTTTTTTTATTGCTATATTTAGATTTTTATGTCTACCACGAAAATTCTACCACGGACACTAGGTGCTATATCCGTAATGCATATTTATGTGCTTTTCACCCTCTACATGTGACATTGCGTGAATGGTAGCAAGTACGGCAACTGTCCTTGAAGGAACCGATGCATTGATCTCATCTTGCACTATTGGTGAAGAAGGACTGGAATTTGGTTATCTTTTTATTTTATACATCGTATCGTAATGAATGTCTTGGGCTTTATTGTCCAGGACAGGAGCCTGCAATTTTTGTATAAATTTAGTATGTTAATTGACTGTTTTAAATATTTATGAAATAAATAAATAAATAAATGCTGTATTCACTTATGTTGGTGGTTTTATTTTATTTTATAACTGCACCTTCTAATGGGCTGACTAAACTTTGGGGAATTTGTCCCAAGAAGTGAACTAAATTTCACAACACCTGGGGGCATCCAGAGATAAATAAAATAATTGTATATATTATCTTTCAGTTTGTGGTTAATCTGTTGTGTGTCCATTTAGGGTTGTGTTGGTTTTAAATGTGGATGCATCCTATAAGATTTTAAATACCCAATTCTCAGTTTTATTATAAGATCACAGCTCCCCCATGTGGAGTAAAAGGTTGTAGTAACAATCAAGGGGTAAAAGTGTCTGGGAATTTTGCAGTCTCTTAACATTTGCTTTTAACCCCTTAATTATTTTGTATATTCTCTTTACTTTGTTTGACACTAATGCAGTTTTTTCATGATTTGAAATTGGAGACCTTAATTTTTTTGGCATTTGTTTTTATTTTGCAAAAAAATACACTATTTGCATTATCTTTGCAAGGAAGAATGAAGTCACAATGGCTTAATTCCTTTGCAAATGAACTCCGCTAATTGTAATAATGCCTAAATTATGCTTTTTACATTTTCAAATATTTGAAATCATATATATTTGTATTTGCAGGTATGTATTAATAATGATGTCCTATTGTAACTGTACTGGTGGAAACCAATATCAAATGGTTTTTCTATTTGAAGTTACCATGTAAATGCATCTTAATTCTGTCTGTCTTGAGAATGATGCTGTGAAATCTAAAATACAATGTTTTCCAAGCTTGTGCATTCAAACTAAAACTGCTTCCTTATGCAATGGAAAACTTAAGCATGGTAAGTGAGGTTTGTTTGAGAGGCTTTTGTAGTAGAACAAACATGTATGAGTGGTTGCCTCGTGTTTGCATAAAACAGGAAAACAGAATTCTCCTTAAAGCATTTTTCACTGGTGCTTCATGGGTAATTTTGGTCTAGCAGTTAGAAGTAGGTCACTGTTCTCAAAATGTGTGAACTACAGCAGGTCAGAATAAATTTGGATTCCTGTGAAGAATGCTCACTTTTGTTTGGTACTCCTGCCTTTCCCCACACTTCGTACTTTGTCATTTTGTGGTGGGATCTGCTAATTAGATACATTTGCAAAGTGAAACCCCTCTCAATGTCACCAAATAATTAAATAAAAACTACTGACAAACGCTGCAGGGAATTTACTGCACGAATGAACACGTTAAATGCTCCACAGCCCCCTTCATCAAACGGTGTTATTTCGAGAAATCAAATCGGCTACATTTAGGTCTTTTGTTCCTTTTTGATACTGTTGTAGAGATGCTGCAATGTTTAATATTGTTGTTTTTAATGTTTGGACATCATTGTGTGGAATTGAGTGATTTGGACGAGCATTTAGTTAGACAAAGACAAACCAGTTTTGTTTTTTTTAGCTGCCAAGAATGTTGTTGACCGAAGGATTGTCAAACAGATGTGGTAAATTGTTTACTGATGGTGATCCAACATCCTCCATATTGGGACTGCACAGCTGCATGGTCATTACTGATTCAACAGATGTAGTTTGGAGGCAAAAAAATATATAAATAAGAAATGTGCACATTCTGATAGCTGTTAATGTCACCTTAATCTGGTTGTAAACCCTCTGTGGTAGGCCAGTGGTTTAGAGGTATGTGGAGGGATTTGGGGAATTTACAAATAAATGTGTCCTTGCTGTTGGGTGATATTTCATGCCTTCTGAGGCCATTTCAATTCCACCTTAAGACTACAAATGACTTGACTTTGCTGGTTGATTCATGAATAAGTTTGCCAATAGGTGTTTCTCAGGAAAAGGTTTTTTTTCTTCTTCTCACAATTGCCCCCAGAACTGTTAAAACCTAAAGACAACCAAGGACACTCATTAAAGAGAGAGGAAGCTCCTTACCCAGGAGAGTTTTGTTTTTTTGTTTTTACTTGCAGTATTAAATTGTTTTTTGTTTAAAACGCAAATAATTGTAATGGCCACTCAAATAATATCAAGTATTCTGCTTATTGATTTCAAGTGTAAAAGGAATAGGCCTACATTTCATATTTGTGGTTGATTTAAAGGGACAACCCCCCCATTGTACTTTGTTTGTACGAGTATGCGTCTCCGGTTGAGAACAAAATATATTTTAAAGGTGAAATTTTCACAAGATGTAATATAAATCTATGGTGTCCCCAGAATGTGTCTGTGAAATTTGTGCTCAAAACACCCCCCAGATCATTTATTATAGCTTGTCAAATTTGCCCCTTTTTGAGTGAGCAAAAACCATAGACTGTAAAAGGCAAAAACCTGCCTTTTTTGTGTGTGTCCCTTTAAATGCAAATGAGCTGCTGCTCCTCGCCTGCATGCATTCAGGCAACTGCCGTTTCGGATACAATAACAGAACAGGCGAATAATCACAAGTCACCCAAAATCTCAGAAATAACCAGTAATGGAGTGCAGCATTAGGAAAGACTCAGGAAGAGGTTGCAACTTTTCGACTGCGCCTGGACGTTTCTAAATGGTTAGTGGATACATTTATGTGGTTGTTGTGGAGTTACATTGATTCATCTCATCGTCATCGACTTGGATGTAAGTTACCTTCATGTTTAAGTTTTACACAAGTTGACAAAGTACCCTGGCCTGAAGTCTTAATAAGACAGCTGTGACTTTTTTTGGTCAAATAGGGTACTGGTCTGTGCAGCCAACGAAAGAACACTGTGCATGCTTTGCTCGAACTTTTGGCACTGCGTTTGAACCATAGACTGTAAAAAAAAAGGTTAGAACCCATAGATATACACACATAGCGTATATATCTATGGTTAGAACTAGAAGAACCATAGACACAGACAGTAAAAGGGTTAGAACAACCCAAGCGTGCCGCACATGAAAAGTGAAGCCAATTTAAATTTTCTCGATCGCCCCCCGGTGGTTGGTCCCAGTATAGGTCATAAACCTTCCCTATGAAGTCTAATGGACGCGATGGAAACTAAATCAAATTACACTTAGAATAAGTTTTTTTCCCGAAGATGTTTTCAGTCATTTTAGGTAGTTTTTATCACGCTGGTGTACGTTTAAGTGTTCGTTTATTTCTAAATAGGTTTGGTCCTCGTTAGTTATTTGATGCTATAAAAACGGGAATGTGAAGTCATGATTGACAGCTTCTCTAAACATTGAGGCACCAAAGGACTTTTAGGGGGATTTTCGGGAGGAGATTGGAGCTTCAGCTTTAATTTCTACACACGGAAAAAGTCAGGTGTTCATGATATGTCCCCTTTAAAGAATGTTGGTAATCAAACAGTTGACGGTAAGTTAGCCAATGACTTCCTTTTTTTTTTTTTTTTTTTTTTACCTACTCTGCATCAACTGTTTGATTACCAACATTCTTTAAAATATCATCTTTTGTGTTCAGCAGAAAAAAGAAACTCATGCAGGTTTGGAACAACTTGAGGGTGAGTAAATGATGACAATTTTAATTTTTGGTACTTATGGGGCTGTGGAGGTATAAGAAAGTTTGGTCACTTGAATTCACTGCATCAGAAAGCTGCTTGAAAGTGTCTTCTGTGTGAGCTGTGCTTCATACATTACATCGTACACTGGACAATAGACCTTTTTGCCAACAAATTTTCACTCTTGAAATTTTCAAACCTGTTTTTCTTTGCCTTTAGAACCCAAGCAGATTTTAGGCATAATAGAACCCTTGTCAAGTTGTCACCATTCACTTTCATTGCATGAAACGCAAGCAGAAACAAATTGTGAAAATCATTCATGAATCCATTCTTACTCACACTCGTCTCGTTCAATTCAATGCAACAATTTATGTAAAAATGTAGACGTATTCTGAGCTATAAAAATGTCCAAGAACAGATGAAAAAGTCCACAAGTTAACTTGTGTGTTATGAATGAATTAAGTCTTCTGAAGCAGTATAATAGCTTTTTATACGACTAAAATTTAAGTTATAAGTCATTAATAATCTTACCCTTTAATAGAGATGTCTTATATTCAAATTTGGTCACAATGCAAATAATTAATAAGTAATTAACATTGATGCCAAGTCTGTAATGTGAATGATATTTGAGCGCTGCAGCATGGGAGAAGATTTTCAGAGAATAATGGATTCCATTTTTGTCTGTACATCACACAAGACTATTTAATGGCTTCTAAAATCTAGGAACATGTATACAGATGGTTTTAAGTGATTTTTGTTTGTTTGTTTGTTTTAAATTCATGTGCCCTCATAATCTCTTGCAATGACGACATCTCTTCTCTGATTCAAATTCAATTCAATTAAAAAAAAAAGCTTTATTGTCTATCCCCACAGGGGGGTAGAAAATTGTCTTTAGACAAGGGCTCAACAAACAGTACAATACAAAAGACAACCACACTATTTAAGATACTCCTCCCCTCCCCTCCCCTCCCCTCCCCTATTTCCTATTTAAAATATCAATGGCAGTCAGAATAAAAGTCTTCTTATACTTGGCCTTTTTCACCAAAGGTACTTTATATCGTCTACCAGATGGAAGTACATTAAATGAACTATGCAGGGGATGAGTAGAGTCTGTCACAATAACAGACGCTTTCCTTTTCACTGCCGCAGTGTAAAGATCAGACAGAGTTACTTGTTTCTCACCAATAATTTTACCAGCCATAATTATAATCCTTAACAGTCTATTGTTGATGAGTAACAGCTCTGTAAACAGTAAACAGCTCTGATGAGCTGTTTACTGGCGCAAGGAAGGGACAACCTGTCACTCACATGACATCACAGCAATAGCAAACCACAACCATGTTAAATGAACTAAATTAATAACTTTTTTAAAACAAAAATGAAACATCACTGAACTTAAGTAAGCTGAACTGTGAGGCTATTATCTTCTGGAAACAAACTTTTTTGCATTATTTTCCTGTTATCTCTGTAAAGCTGCTTTCAAACAATCTGTATTGTAAAAAGCGCTATATAAATAAGTGACCTGACAACCATCCAATCAATTCCTGATGGGAAAAAAATCATGTCTGGCACTACTTT